ATAGCTGCTCACTGATTGTCCCCCCTCATGACCCCTAGATACGAATCTAGTTTAAAAAGCAGAAGATGAAATCTTCATAAATCTGGATTTGTGAATAATCAGTGGATTTAAAACTATGTTTCAGTTGACTTTTTTTCTCAAGAATAATTTTGATATTTTACACTTGATTAGGAAAAAAGGACTTTGGCTTGGTCTTAGCATATTTATTTAAATATAACACATACATGGAAACTAAATTTTTATGCACTAATAAGTATGATGAGTGGACTTCTTTAATGAGGGTTAAAAAATAAGCAATAACCTTCAGGATTGTAGGTCAAAAAAATATAATCTTCATGCATTTATTTGATGCCTGATTTAGGCCATTTTCTGTTGCTATAACAGAATGCCTAACACTAGGTAATTTATAAAGAAAAGATGTTAATATCATAATTCTAGTCTAAGAGCACATAGTAGTTCATATAAGAGTTTTGTGTTGTTTCACTCATGGGAAAAATGGACAAACAAGTCAATATATGCAAAGAAGTCAGAACACAAGGATGACCTCACTTTTTACCAACCTGCTCTTGTGGTAACTAATCCAGTTCCATGAGAAAGACATTAATCCCTCATCCCATAAAGACAATTAAATTTTCACATGACTTTGAGAAGAGACAAAGCATATTGAAAAGCCTGGGCTGAATTAACTTTTGAACTTCCGGGTGTGGAAAAAGAAATGTAAGCTCAACAAAAAACAGGTCATTCTTCTCTAGGCTTGAAGAAAAGCTTGTTTTCTGGGTTTTATCCCATATTCCATGTCCACAGCTAATGTAGCTCCCAGGTAGTGGGCAACGAACCAGCCACACTCTCCGGTTTCTCAGCTCCCTCCCAAAGCTCCTAGGAAAGTAGAGCCACCTCTTAGCTGTGGACCTCACCTCCTGCTGCTGTCACACCTCAGGTGTCCCCTGCTAAGAGGCTGAACCACACCCACTGTCTCAGCCCTAGTGTCCCCAGAAGCCTGCTCAGAGTCTAGCTGCCTCCCCATCGATCCCTTCCCTGGCAGATGGATGAATTTCTTCATGTATCATGAAGCCTCATCACTCACACCTCATGACTCTTCCAGGAGTTATTTAACTCCTCTGCTAACTTCGGTTTCCTCATGTTCCAGATGTGACATTTACTCATAGTACCAGTGGGGTTTGAGTGAAATAATCATGTCCAGGACTTGCCATGGCTGCTGGCACAAGCTAAGCATTCAGTAACTACTATTTAGTAGTACACGAGGCCACAAGCTCCATGAAGGCAGGGATTGCTGCCTTTTCCATCCAAAGCTAACAGTCATTCCTGGTAAATGATAAATGAGCTCTAAGTAAAGGGTTGAAGTATTTAGTCCACTTCAAATGGCACTATTCCTGACCTCTTATCCACTTTCCTTCTCTGGGAGACACCAGTGGCATTTTGTTTGTCCACACCCCATAGCACCATCTCCCACCATTCTGAGTCGGTGTCACCTCACTGTGTTCTCTCAGAGAGCAGGGGCTCCCTGGGCTCTCCCTCTTCCACCTCCAATGCTGTGCATTCCACATACCTGCAGTAAACACCAAGAGTGATGGGCTGGCCCTGCCAGGTCCTTCCAAGAACCACCAGAGACGGATCATTAGCCCGAGCCACAGAGCTCTGACCAGGACTTGCAAACACTCTGGTTTGATTTCATGAGGAAGCACCTGGGTGGGTAATTTTTTAAACTGCACATTTCTGTTAGGTCAGTTGAGATGAGCAAATAACTGAGTTTCAACCCTTAACCATAGCCAGAGGTCCCTCCTCCTTCTGATGTGAAGTGATTTTTAAGTCCAAGAAATAAAAGCTGCCTTGAAGTTAAGAACTGACAACAACATAGCCTGGGCAGAAGGTGGCATGCAGTATGCACGTGACATTCAGACTAGACCAGGCTGGGGTAAGGGATGGCAGAGGTGTAGGTACGGAGCTGCCCACAGGGACAAGGTACCAGCATTACACTTATGGACAACTGCCTAAGGGACCCTCTTCCTTCTCCTCTACCGATTCCCCCAGAAGGATATGCCCTGCACTCTGGGGAGGGGATATGTGTACAACTGCTTTGCCTAGTTTCCTTGGCAACCATGCAGGATCTGGAAGCTCCAGGATGAGGGGGTGGGGTGTTCCAAATGCAGCTGCTGATGTCAGTCAAACGTGGTACCTCCACACCCGTGTTTAACAGCCTCTCGGCTTCAGAAGTTTACACACACACACACACCTCTAACTGTTCATTTCTAATTTGGTGCCAAGTGGCCAAGCAAAGAGCCTCTGAGAATGTTATATAATGAATCTCATTTCACCAGTGTGAATAGACACGGGGGCCTGGCACCACATGATCCCCAGCACCAAGGACACAGGATGGCCCTTGGTTGCATTTCAGGATTTTATCCAAGTCTATGCACCAAGAGGCATTCATTAATTTTGTATCACAGTTTGTCGTGAACTGAGACCAAGGGATAGGGAATCAGGTGTCACCTTGGGGGCTGAAGGGAATCAGATTTGGAGATCTGGTCCCAGATTGACAAACGTGTGGGATGGGGGCACTCAGAGGCACAGTTGCTTAGGAAGAAGAAAGATATAGTCTCCAGCTTCGAAACGAGTTCTATTCTAAAACCTCATTTGTGAGTCACTTATTTAGAATTCAGATCCCATTTCCAAAGAAGTCATGTCTGTTATAATAAATGATGATTAGGTTTTTAGGCTAGTCTGCAAAAGCCTATTTAAACTCATAATGTAGATGAAATACTATACATTTGCAATGAAAAGCAATAGAAAAAATATCCTATTGTGATACCAGTAATTAAATGAAAAAGAAAAATAAGAAAATCAGAAAATAAATAGCTTTCTTTCACTTCTTTTTTGAGTGTTAGAACCTCGAGATGGAGGAGGTGGCTGGCCTGGGTTCTGAGGGAGGATGACCCTCATGTTATTCGGTGACTGAAAACCTTTGGGAGAAGAGAAGGAAAGGGGACTCCTCCCAAGATGTGGGTGAGCTTCCCGGGGTGGAGAGAAGACCATAAACCCATAGCAGCCTGGGTTCCAGTTCTGCCTCTACCCCTCCTCTAGCTTTGTAGGTGCTGGCCCTCCTGAATCTCGGTTGCTTCCCAGCAACCTCGACTGACCACTTCAGACGACCGCCTGCATGAGAGACATAGTGCTGGCTGCCTTCACAGAAGGACTTGTTCTTCAGGTTCTGGGAGGGCCACTAGCCCAGAAGGGAGCAACACGGGAGGCAGAAAGGCACAGCCATTTCAGCATAGCCCAGGAAACTCCGAAGGGGCTACTCCTGGCCCAGTACCCTCCACAATGCTGCCCTACCTCTGCATGTGAGCCTGGACTCTACCCACTGACAATGGACACTGAGGCTGATTCCTAGGCAACCCTGCCTATAACAGCCTGGCCTAGATTAGGCACAGGAAAAGCAGAGAACTTCTGTCCGGTCTCTTTACCTGCACAGGGCCTTACTCAGCTCAGAAGTCTAGTGACACCCCAAGTAGTGCTGAGCGTGGGGCTGCTGGGAGCCCAGGGTCAGAAAGACAAGCAAGGACCTTCTTGAGAACTCACAAAAGTATGTCCTATCCCCTGCCTTATCAATTTCTCATCTCTGAGACACAATACCCAACACCCACAACTTAACAGAGCAAAGGCTTATTTTAGCTCACTTTGCTAAGGTTTGGGTCCATACTCAGGTGGCTGCAAGGCTGGGTGGCTTAGCAGAAGGACACTGCACAGGGGAAGCAGTTCAGGGCACAGCAGTGGGAAGCAGGGATTGGGGAAGGAGGAGGAATGGATTTATCCTTCCAGGCCACACCCCCAGTGCCCCATCCTCTGGCTAAGCTCCGCCCCCATCACCACACTTGGTTACAAACTCATCAGTAGACCAAGAAGTATCACAGCCCACAATCCAGTCACCTCCCAGAACCTGTCTATGAGTGCATGAGGCTTGAGAGAACATTGAGATACAAACCTCAACACTCCCTGAAAATGAGCAGGCTTGGAGATAAGCTACAAGGTCGTGCTTTTAACATATGTGTGTTCAGAATTGAGAGGACATAAGGTAGCAATAGAATCTAAGTAAGAAGCAGAGGATTATTTGTTTGGGGCTGCTCCATCCTGTATGGTAGCCACTGGCCACGTGACTATTAAAATTTAAATTAATTTATATTAAGTAACACTTGAAATTTTGTTTCTTGGTTGAAATAGTCATATTTCAAGTACTCAATAGCCACATGTGGGTTGTAGCTACTACCAAGTTCAGATTTGTATTAATTATTACAGGAAACTCTGTCAGCACTAATTGCAGTATTGAGTTATGAAGGATCTAAGAATGCTTAAATTGTATTCCATATCAACTTTCCAAGAAAGGATTCACAGATAGACATGCACGGATAGTGAAGCAAGACAGGTATGGTGCCACTAAGGCTCCGGTGTCCTCTCTCCCCTCCCCTCCTCCCACCCCACCCATCACCCATCACCTATCACCTAGAACTGCATGTTGAGTTCCACAAAGGACAAAGAGAAAGGAAACCAGAAAGACCCAAAACCATGCAGGCCTTTTGGAAATTCAACTGTAGAAGCCCCCAGCATATAACCCCCCATATTTCAGCTCCACCAGGTAACCCCACAGTAAGACGAGGCTGATATGTGTTCAAAGTAGTCAACTCCTGCAGCCTTTCTTCTCAGGCATGAGCAGAGAGATCCAGCCCCTCCCCCCAGAGGCCAACGCTGCCTGTCACTGGCTGGCCCCATAATGGATGGCACTTGAGCCTACACCCTCCGCAGTGCTTGGGGGTCTCTCTGGGAGACCCCGCACTAGCACTGGCTTTCCTTGTGTATCTGTCCTTTCTCTTCACCTGCGCTGCAGCTCTGCTCACGTGCCTAGCAGCAGGACTTAAGCTCCATCTCTCCCCTGTGGTCCAGGCAACACCCAGGCCTCATACTGGCTCCCAAAGGGATTCGGGCCAGGCTCAGCTCCGGTCCTTCTTACTTGGCGACATAAAATTGACAGAATCTACAACCACAGCTGGCACCAGCTCTATGGACCACCTTGGCAATCAGTGCAAACAGAGGAGTAGCCATACTCGCAATGTAGAAATGTCACCCACACTGCCCCCTACACCCCGGAACAGCAGCCACTTTCCTCTGCCTGGGCCCTCCTTTCTCTACACCCCCAACAGTCTCACGGTGTCTTCCCTTTGGGGAGTGTTTTCACTTCCAGAATATTAGGGGATCTGCTCACAGCACATAGTGGGGGCTACAGTTTTCCTAAGAGGCAGGGCTGGGCTACCACAGACAGGGTAAGATTTTGGCTCTCCTCTCTACAGTATCAACTCACACTGTGCTTATCTTCAAAGCTCTGCACTGTGACTTTTTAGATACCGTGTATATAAATCTTCTTTCAGAGACTGGTATTATTGTTCAAACAGAGTTCTTATTGGACACAACTGATAAATTAGAAGGCTGCTTCAGCTGCTGCTATCCCACTGAGGATCTCAAACGCTGATGATTTTCTGCTCTGCAGCTCCTTTCACAATATGCCACACTTTTGCCAGCAAATAAGGCTCTCAGCTCCTTTCTACTCCCACTCAGTAAACACCTGAGACAAGTTCCCACCACACACACCTGTGCAGGCAACAGATTTCCTCCCCCCAGCATGTGGCCATGTACACAGCCACGCATAAGCCACACTCACCCACACAGGTCAGGTTGCCCAGAATCAGGCAACAAAGCCTCTGAGTCAATGAAATATCATTTCAGAGAAGTTTCCTCCAGACTCCATGGAACCTTCAGGGCCTGAGACAGCTCCTGCACCCCAATACGATAGCACCTTGACATTGTTGGCATCAGACTTTGCAGAGTTACCAGCAGATGTTTGCATGAATCATTTTGTTCAACTGGAACCATATAGCAACTCTCAAGGCAGCTATTACTAATTGCATTTTACAGATGAGGGTACTGTGTTCAAAACAAAGTAAAACACTTTGCTCAAGGCCTGATGCCTAAAATATGGCAGAGCTAGAACTCAGTGCAGTGTCCCCTGCATTTGGCAGGGCTTGAAGTCTATTCTGAATGAGGGAGGTATGTTGAAGACACAAGATAGAGAATTGGGTTGAGATACTAGTATGACTGTGTTAAAACACAGAATGAAAAAAAAAGGAAACGTACCTCACCCATTCCATTCTGTTTTAGTCAACAAACAATGAGATATAGAGGCAGAAAGAAAATGTTCAAAGCTATAAGCACGTAAAAACCACCAAGAAATGAAGGTCCTTCTTCTGTGAGAAATGCAATGTTCTCTCTACCACTTCTCATGCAAAGCCCACCCTTGCTCTCTCCTGTCTAGGTCTTCTCTGATCACAAAAGCCCACATCAAAGCCCTCCAAAGCAAGGATTCCTTCCTGAACTTTAAGTCTATAAGAATCACACACTTTCCCAGTTGTACCCCTAGAGATTCTGACCCAGCATATGTGGGATAGTGCCTGCGAATCTGCATTATTGACAAGTTGTGTGCTGCTGCTGAGTCATGAACTACCTTTAGGTACCACTGGGCTTAAATCTGGTAAATCATTACCAAGACAAGTTAGAACTTGGCTTTTTTGGTACACCATCTCTGTTCCCAGCTACTTCCCCTCTGCCCTCCCCATAGTCTGACCCATATTCAGAATCCCAACCCCCAAACCCAGGACCAATCCTGGTCACAGTTTGGGCCTCTTGCCTTGTTAGCACTTTTGCCCTATGTACCCTATAACTAGCTTCTCAACCCTGGTTCTCTTCCTCCTTGACAGTCCAGATTTCTCACGAACTTGTGGGGCTTTCTCCTCTTCCAACCTTCTTCCCTGAGAATTGAACTATGCAGTCCTGAACGTCCAAGTAGCACCTACTGTCCACATATCTGCTGCCCTACTGCCTTGATGCCAGTTGTCTACTTGCCCAGATGCCCATGTTTGCCTAACCAAGATTTCCTTTCACTGAGCTGTCTTTGCTGGAAAATTCAGCTCCTAGTACTGTCCCTTCTCACTGTGGCAACTTGCATGGATGCTGAACTCTAGTTGTTCTGTTAGAAAGAACCACCTACCATACTGTTTCCTTTTCAGCACTAGATAGTGGACAGATCCCCTAAAGGGCAGAGATGAGACAGATCTGAAACCTCCCTACTTCTTCCTCACTGTAATCAATAGGCCATACCTCTGTAATATGGTAGTTTTATATTATATTCTCTTATCTCCCATACAAGGCATCCTTGCTGATTTGATTATGGAAGTTGGAGCCCTCATTGCATATATAAGTCAACAACATTAGCCTTCACTCTCTGGGCAGCCAGAAAACAGTAAACAACAACCAGTTTGAGCCCTTGCCTGGTAGATACCCAGAAATACTGTTTATCATCCAGTTGAGAAAGAAGAATATCTTTTGCCATCCCCTCCAGCGCCTCTCACTGGGGCTCTCTGAGCAGGCACTCCATGAATACTAAATGAATCAGCAAACAAGTGGATGAGAGGGGTTGTGCCCAGTTCTCCTTGGTGTTACCCAAATCAGCACGCTCAGCCAGGAACAAATGACTTCCGATCTGCAGAAGCTGAGGGAATGCCTCCAGGCCAGGCTTCCAACTAATTCCCAGCACAAAATTGAACCTGCACATTCAGATGAATTGTGGCTTGAAGACAGCAATTACACCAGCACAGCAGTGCTTGCATTTGTTTTTCCTATACATGAATGTCTTACACACCAAAGACTATACTGTGCTCCACCCCTATTCCAGACCTCCTTCCTTCTTCCTCTTGTCCACTTCATTTCCATCAATGGCCCCTGGCCAGGCCAGCTATCTCAGCAGGTGCAGTTAACAGCTGCACTTGCAAAGCATCCCCATCTCTCTGTAATCATCTCCCCATCCTTTCTTTGGGTGCATTTCTGAAAAATTAAAAGAATAATATCCAGGGAAGGTACCCAACATATTCATGCCTCAGCACAAGATGTTCATCAAATTAGTGAACCTGTTCTCCAGCAGAAGCCCAAGAAAGAGGGACAACACAGAGCTGGCTTTTGGCAGGCAGAAAAGCTGCACAGGAGAGGAAATATCCCCATGTGAGTTACCGCTGCAAGGGCAGGCCTGGGTGCTTTAAGGGGTTTATGTTCTCTGCCTGGTTTGCTGAAGTAACACCACAAGGGCTCCAGGAGGACAGGGACAGAGCAGCCTATGTGCTGCAGACTGTGGGTGTCCCAAAAGGTTTACACTGCTCCTGCAGGAGCTGGACCAAGGAGATGTGGAATGCTTTGCACAAAGCAAAGACTTTCTGTTGCCGGGCAACATATGTGCCGCTGTGTTGGTTGAGTTTCAGTGCTACCAAGCTTTCCTAGCTCTGGGGGTGGGCTCTTGCTGCTGATGACCCCTATGGACGCCAAACTTTCAGGCAAGATGCAGCTCCCCACAGATTGCCCAAGGTAAAAGCTTCCTACTGGCTGGGCTCAGTCGGAAGGAAGTAGGAGAAGGACATGGCTGCAGGAGATCAAAGCCTCAGAAGTCTGTGGTGTTTATCTCATTAGGCTGTTTTACATAATGCCAGCCAAAAACAGAAAGAAGAAAACAGCTGAAGGGCGGAGTTCAGACCTGGCTTCTGAGTTCTACTTCCCCAGGCTCCTAAGGTTGAGGTGCACTCCCTAGACAGCCCCTTCCTTCCTGACCAGGGTACCTTATCTGCAAAGGAGTTGTAACAATGAAGACTGGGCTCCAGGTCACCTCCAAGCAGCAGTACCACTTACATGAACAAAGAGATGGATACCGCTGTACTCACCGGAAGTCCTGCCCTAAGCCCTTTAGTTTACAGCATTCATCTGATCATATATAGGGACAGCTGGGAGAAAGGGACCAGGAGTCCAATCCACTCAGAGGGAAGTAGAAGAAAGGGGAGAGCAAAGGTGGTTATGGAGGAGCAGGCTGGGCCAGGAACTCTCGGGTCAGTCCACTGGGAAAGGGAGCCCAGGTGCCACTGGGCCAATGTCCCACAGAAGTCCACGGCCACGAGGCTGATGCTAGCAGAAAGGAGGATAAGGAGTTCCCCGGGGTCCAGGAGGTAGACAGGAGCCACCTGGAGTAGCTGGAGGGAGTCTAGACAGCACTAGGGAAATGGAACCAGCAAGAGTGAAGAAGAGGGCATAGGAGGGGCCTGATGAGGAGGCCAGGTAGGCATGCCAAGTAGGATGAAGTACAGGCTCTGCACCACGCTCCATACTACAGCGGAAGGACCCATGGGGCTTCTTGTCACATACAAGCTGGGTGAGGCTGACCCAAGACTGAGCTAACCTGCAGGCATGAGTCAGAGACCAGAGGTTCCAGGAGCTGCGAGGGCTCTCAGCCACCTCCAGCAGGCAAGACATTCCAGGCTGGGACTTCCTGGCCCTCTCTGGGGCCACCAAAGATCCTTGCTCAGTCACAGTCTGTCTCTGCGTCCACCCTCCTTGTCCCTCACTTCTTTCCCTCCTGTCTAGCCAGCCTTGACTTTTGCTACCACCCCTGCACCCAGCCTTGGGGTAGCTTCTCAGCACTCATGTTCTCTGTCCTGCTAGCATCAAGGCCCCTGGGAGGGTCAGAGGTGCGGGACCCCCATGCTGTGGACAGAGGCAGCTGCTCCACTGGGTCCCATTCTTGGTCCTCAGCAGGTGCCTCTCCAGAAATCACCCTCCAAGCCAGGGTGGGAACCTTGAGTGAGCCTGTGGTTCAGGCAGGAAGTCAGGAGAGGAAAGCCTCCGTCTGTCTGTCCGTCTGTCTGTCTGTCTGTCTGTCTCTCTCTCTCTCTCCCTCTCTTCCCTCTCCTGTCCTCTCATCTCTCTTTCTGTCTCTCTGTCTGTCTCTCGGTCTATCTCTCTGTCTGTCTCTCTGTCTGTCTCTCTGTATGTCTCTCTGTCTGTCTCTGTCTCTCTGTCTCTGTCTCTGTCTCTCTCTGTCTGTCTCTGTCTCTTTCTCTCTGTGTCTGTCTGTCTCTCTCTCTCCCCCTCCCTGCCTCCCTCCCTCTCTCCCTCCCTCCCAGCTGGATATATGCCATGTGACCATCCAATCTAATTAGCTGAACCCTCAATCTTGACAGAGGCATCAAAAAAAAAAAAAAATCCCTCACTTCCTTGGCTTGCAGCCTCTTGAAAGATAACAGAGAAGATCTGATCGCAGCAAAAATGTAGCCTCAGCGCCACAATTCTCACGTCCAGCAGCAATCAACTGTGAGCTCAAATCTCCATTTTACCCATGCCAAGTAGAATAAGAAAATCTGGGTTCACAAGCACAGCAACAGCGAGCCTCAGGGATCCAAATGGGAAAGTTAGTGACAGCTGCCCCATGCCCAGTCCCTGCTGAGCAGATCGGGAGACAGGGTGAGAAAGGACCTCTTGCATGCCTTCCTGCAGGTGTCTGCCAAGCAGCTTTAGGCAGGCTTTGTTACCACAGTCCTGCCAGCCCACCCTGGCTGCCGGGTCCCAATCACTGGCCACCCCGCCTCCCCCACCTGTCTTCCCTTGCCCTTAAAGAGCAAGTGTCCAGGCTGCAGGTCACAGGACACTATGCCAGAAAGAACAAAGGTACAGGCACTCAGACTGGCCTCTGGGGCTCTTGGGGGTGGCTTGATGATGTGGAATTCTCCAAACAGGTATGGCCAACTCAGACTGAAACCAGAGTTGTGAAGAGCCTGTGAAGACATGTAGTCGGAAGAGGGAACAGCACCACTGAAAGTGCCCCCGCAGCACCAGCCAGCTGCCCTGGCCACTCCAGCCACCCACCGCCAGCTTCTGTCCCATGCAGAGCATTAAACCAGACAATCCATCCAAACAGGGCCTTTGCCTAGTTCACCTCCCAAGGCTGCCTGTCCCCTGTCCGCTGGCCAGTGACACTCTCTTGCCCTTCTCCAGCTCTGAAAAGGGCAGGAGGATCTGGGTCCAGAGGCCACAGAGACACCTGTCCCACCCATGCTACCCGCCTGGGTTGCTAGGACCAAAGCAAAGCAGTGATAGGTGGACTGAGGACACAATTCTGAGTCACACAGGACCTCTGCCTTTCTCTAGGGTAGGAGAAAGAAAAAGGCACCCACAGCACCTGTCCAGCAACTCCCCCAGGGAACTTGGTGCCTAAAAATGGAGCCACCCTCTACTCCTCTCCCCCCCACACACAAGTGCACATGGCCTCTGCCACCTCTGAAGCTTAACCCTTTACACTTGGACCTGGCAGCCTCGTGGTCAGTACACCGGTGGTTTCCCCTGCTCTCACCGGGCTATGAGGCGCTTGGCTCAGAGGTCTGCAGCGAAGTATCGCACTGGTGGACTTAACGTTCCAAAAAACAACAGTTGCATGCCAAATTGTGCCTTTTCCTATTTGAAAACATTTTCCCCCCAACCATGATTGATGATCGAATACAAATTCCTGATGAAAAGATCAAATACAAATTCCTGATGAAAAGAATATAACCCCGGGTTAACCAAAGTCCGAATACTTGCCAGGAGACTCCAAAGGCTTTCCTTGGGCAAAAAATTAATCTACTGAGAAAGAGTACAGAGAGTAAGATATTACGGTCAAATTATAAAATAACTAACCTAATACCAAAATGAATTTATTCATTTGATCTCAGATATTAAAGAGCGCAGAACTCTCAAAACAAGCAATCAGATAGGGGAATTTGTTTCGTTTTTCCAATGCTTGGTAATAGGAGTCTGCTTATCTTTAACTGCTGCCACTCAATGTCAAAGGGGGTTCCCGTGCCCACTTCCCACCTAATTTCATCAACACTTGACCTTTGAAAATTAACATGGACACTCACTGTCCTTCCCCCTCATGCCGGCTTCCCCCATCACACTTAGTACCAGCTTCAGTTGTGACAGCTGTTCACCTGCCCTCTGGCTCCAAATAGCTGTCATGGGATTCAGACATGGCAAATGCTCTCTGCCAGTTTAATAGCCCATTAGCCAACTTCGTGAGAGGCAGATGCATCCCTCACCAAAGAGTAGCATCAATTCCCCACCACCACACGCTGGAGACCTTTCCATCTATCCACTATGCCCATGACTTTCATCAGTTAAAAATAGACCAATTCACAGCACAGGCTACACATTAGATTTTTCAGGACCCAACTGATCTACAGTTGGAGAACGAACTCCCTGGAGACATCCAAGGCTCAAAGAGGGCCCCCTAAAGCTTCTCTGTCTTTGCTGCTGCTGCCATGTGACATGTTTTCAGTTACACCTGATGGGTGAGCTCTTTGCATTCCAGGCATGTACAGGGTTTACAGCTAGAAGAGCTCTACCAGGTTTCCCCTGAACTGTATCTGCAATTTACACCAAAATAATTCTCTTTGCTGAAAATTCCAAACTATCTTAATTGCTTGAAGCAATTCTCCTATATTGTAATTACCTCGTTGCCTTGTAATTATTTGCTTTGTGAATGTCTCTCCGCCCCCAATCTTCTCCGCCCCCCAACTCAAGCTCCTTAAAAGAACTCCCCCAGTGGCCTTGCTATCTACCATGTCTGACACTTAGAAGAAACTCAGTAGCTCTGATTAAACTGAGTTCATTTGGATTGAAACTTCAATGTCAATAACTTCTTCCTCCTTAGATTCTGCATCCCATTAGCAGCCCTATAATCTATTATTGTTAAGTGGCTGATCAACAGGACTTACATATTTTGAAAATCTTTTAGGCTTCTAATTAGTGACTATACTAGACCAATATATTATGAGGAAATAAGCAATTATCATCATTCATTTCTATATTTAGGTCCTTATGTATCCACTTCCATAAAGAAATTAATAACCCCAATTATTAGAGTCTCTAAGGCAAATCGTGCACTAAAAGGATGTGGCATGGTTAGCTCAATATCTAGGACATGGACTGCTCTTTAAGTTCTTTGTGCCCATGTGCTGGTACCTATAGCAATGGTTGCAGGTTGTGGGGAGCAATCAGGTTAATGCCAGCCCAACTGCTGGCATCTGCTTCCCAAATGCAGGCCAGGAGAACTAGGTAAGCATCATTTAGACTCCTACAGTTTTTTTCCTAAAAATCAGTGAATGACAGTTCTGTTTTGTTTAGTTTTTCTTACCTCTCCTACCTCCCCACTCTCCACGCTGCACTACGGATGGCTAAAGTCAAATCCAAAAAACACACCCCGTACATGCAAACAAAACTAGGCAACAATAAAGAAAGATGTTTCAGCCTGAACAAGTGCTTTCTTCAAATTCCTCTGTAAGGGATTCCTGAGAGCAAGAAACAATAAGACATTCCTTTGCCTCTAAGTGTAAACTGAATCTTCACTCTGGCTTGTTGAGTGAAAAAAAAGGTAGAAAAGGAACATCTGACCGGTGCAAGAGACGAAGCAAGATGCTTACTCATAATCGAGTCAGCAAGAAGATCTGTGCCAGCAGAGGGAGACGCCTGTGGCACAGACAGGCAGCAGATCCCCACGGGGCAGAGAGCAAAAATAGCCAGCCAACCCTGGTGGCTTGTTAAGTCACCCTCTTATTGTAATTTAAGTCCTAATGATCCCTGGCTGAGAAATTCCCTAACCGACAGGAGCAACTACAGATTTTGTCTGTGCTAAGCAATCACAGGTGAGCCACGGCCCAAAGCCCATAATTGGAAATTTGTAGTTGGTATACAATCCACCTGCTTCACACCCCACCCAAAGTTCCGCCACCTGCAAACCACCAGCTCCTTCTGCCCTTTACAAATGATCACAAGGTGCTACTAGGTTGCCATGATAATGTTCCCATAATCCTGGAGACACGCTGGAGTTCAGTCCCACGAGCAAGCTCAGCTGGGTAGGTGAACTCTTAAACGCCTACCAAGAAGGTGCGGGTGGGATCATTACCTGGCTGCCAGTGACTTGTTTTTGTTTCTTAGTTTTGGCTTGAGTGTTGTTTTTAAAAGCTCCCCAAATCTTTAATCCAACCAAAACTAACTGAGGCAATTCTGCCCAGAACAATGTCCTGAGACTGTCCACAGCTCCCAGAAGGCAGAGTATCCAGCGCCCCAACCACTCCAGGGGTAAGGTCACATGCAGGCCCAGCCACTGAGGCTGGGACGTACTCACGCAGGGCATGCCACTCGTCCTGACGGATGGTCTTCGTGATGTTGAATGTGAGGTTCCTGGGGATGGTTGCTGAGGAGTAGTGGTACTTGATGTACGTGCATCGCTCGATTTCTCCTGAAAAAGAGAGGGGCCCATGTGTTAATGAATTGCAACCATGTCCAGAGCAGCTCTGGTTCTATTTTGCCAGCCTGGAGAGACAGAGTCGCTTCATAGTGCACTTGTGACACCTGCTTTATATAAAACAGATGAGCTGCTTTGGCTCAAAAAGAGGAAAAGAAAAGAACCACAATCAAAGACCTTTGATTTATTTTTAAAAATACACCTCTGAGATAATGTAGAGGTGGAAAGAGCCAATGTTTAGGCTGCTAAGAGCTAGTTTTAAAAAAAAAAAAAGTAGAGGAGTACCCTTGTTTTTCTAACCTTCTTAATAAAACCAACTCTCAAATTGAAGTTTGGCATCAAAACCCATCAATAAACACACACACACACACACACACACACATCAATAGTTTCCACCCTGGACCAGGAGAGGCCAGGCTTGGCCCTCATGGTAGCATTTGCTTTTAGTACAAATGCTGCCTTCCAGCCTTCTGCACAGGGAGCTGGGTTGCAGGAAATCTCTTCCTTTCCTCTCACCAGCCTCCCCAATGCCCTCCAACCTCACCTCTGACCGTGAAGTAGTCAAGTCAATCTCCCTCTCTTTCAACTAGTCTCTTCCCAGGCTTCCGGGACACAATCATGGTACCTTCACTCAACACCCAGTCCAACATATTATCAAATCAGAGCAGACTTTGTTGCCAGTCAAATCATTATTCTAGGGCTGAGATTCTCAAAGCGTGGCCTCGGGCCCAGCAGCACTAACATTCCCCAGGAACTTGTTAGATGTGCAAATTCTCAGACCCAATCCCAGACATCCCCAAGCCAAAAACTCCAAGGGAAAGCCCAGCTGAGTTTTATTCAGCCTTCCAGCTGATTCTGTTGTGTGCTTAAGTTTGAGAACTGCTGCCTTAGAAACTGCTAACAGAATTACCAACGCATCATTTCAAAACTCCATGGTGTTTGCAAATTCCAAAAGGAAGGCCTGATTCAGAGTTCCTCCCTTGTACATTTGGTGCCCTGCAGGCATTGCTATTGACAATTGCTTTTATCTGGGGAATATTAAAACTCAATGTCAGGGCATTGTGAAGAATCAGGAAAGGAGTGATTTTTTAAAGGTTAGGGGTTTTGAAATTTGGTTTTGCACCTGAATGGATTTTGATGGTAATCCATTTTGCACCCCACTGATTTTCAATTTATAACGGGTGGCACCTGATTGAATTGTTTGACCCCCCCCCCTCCGGCCCACTGTCAGCAGGGAACCTGGCAATTGGTGGAGTGCAATAATTTAGACGGTGCCTTGTGAAACCGATGCTTTATTGTAAGTCATATCTGGACAACTGCCCAGTTCCCAGTTATTGGCGGACATTCCTCAAATGGGACAGACTCTATTTGAAGAGACAAAGATTTGGAAAGTGGTCTGGACTCTTCACCTCGACTTTTTCAAACTTCCTGTGTCTACCTCCTTAGCCCACAGGCCTCCCGCAGCCTCTCACAGGCCCCCAGCTTCCCCCAAGCACACCTCCTGCCCTTCCCTGCATTCTGTCATCCTGCTTCCTTGGCTAGCACAACTTGAAGGAGCATCTAGCGTAACGTCCACTTCTTCCACTCAAACTAACCCAAATTACAGCACACAGTCCGCAGATCACTCGGCACCTTGGCTACAGGAGCAGCCCCAGTATCTCCTGCTCCCTAATGGTGCCACCTCTTGCTGACATCAAAGGGCCCACCCAATTCTGTCAGCACTACTTCAGAAATGTCCCTGGAGTCTGGTGTCTCCTTGCAGTCCCCACTTCATCCATGGCAGTTGTTCTAATATAATGACATGCATCCTAACAACATTCCAAAGCCAGGCTGAAAGTATGACGAAGGTTACCTAAGAAGGCAACCCTTGCTGATGTCACTGCCACCTTCATCTGGAAAGTATACGCTCCCATGTTCACACAGTGACAATGTCACCTACCAATAGATTTCTCAAATGGGTCTCCATTGTTCAGTGACAACCACATTTTGTGGGAACTTAGTAGGAGAAACGTGCCAGCTGCTTTATAGGCCAGTGGTTCCCAACTTGTCGTGAAGCTCACAGAGAGGACATTTAGAACACACCTTGGGATAAACAGACAAGGTGGCCCCTGACCAGACTCCCTGAGAGCTGAAGAAGCCAGCATTCCCAACACCCCTGGGGCCCATTCCTGATGTCAGACCTGCCCCACCACCCAGGAGACCCCATGACTGAGTTGCAGGTATCACCATCTCTGTTTTTGAAATGAGAAAGATCCCCTTAAGATTACACAACCTCCTTCAGGAAGTGATTGTGCCAGGAACAGAACCCAGGGTAGCTCAACGAGAGTCTCCCTTTCCAGGGCCACCTCTGCTCAGAGGCCTCCGCTGGCCTTCGTGCACAAGGGAGAAACCTCACACTCCTGAGGCATTAATCCCCCCAAGCTCCACTCCAGCTCCCTGCTGGCCCCAGCCTTCCCACTCCCAAGCTGCTGCTGGCAGACTTTCCCTCCGCACCCTGAGTGGACCACAGCCCTTTATACCTGTCTCCAGCTCCTCCCTATCTCCTGAGGAAGATGATTGTCATCAGAGAGGATGCAAATGGTAGCACCAGGAAAGCCAGGCTTGCGTCTAGGAAGTGCCCAGCAGCCCCCAACAGGAGCGCTCACCTGGGCTTCTCCCTCCTCCCCTCCACTCCCTGAGCTTCCTCCTTGCAAACCGCACCATGGGCTGTGATTTATCTGTTTACACGCCTCACTCCCCCACTAGATTATGAGTTCCTCAAGGGCAGGGACGTTGTCTTACTCATTTATCTTTATCCCCCAGCCCCCAACACAACAAGGTAAGCACCTCCACCAAGCGCTCCAAATGAAGGCGTGAATACTATGAAATGGCCTTGGTCAGACCACAGTGGGAAAGAAACCAACTGTTTTTATTAATTGCAAGGGAAATAATTGAGGCAAATAATTGAGGTAACCAGTGAAAGGAGATGACTGCTGCAGAACTCGGGGAGCCTACAGTCAATCCTCATCCCTGTCTGGACAATGTATGGAGAGACAATCACAGTGAGGGAGGAGAAAACCGAACGTGATCCCAGAACAGCGTCTCGCTCATTGAGCAAATGTAATCCAAGGGGCAAGTAGGTCAGTGGTTATAGGAGGTGAAAGTGTTGGGTGGGCATAGAAAAGAAGTAATGAGAGTAGAAGGTGATACCAAGAACGCCATCAGCAACTGCCTTGGACAGGTATGGCTGGGCAGGTTGTGCCCCATACAAGGGTATTTCCTCAATACTTGGGTGCTGACATTGAGCTGCTGTCTCTTGCCAGACTTTATATCCTGATAAGGTGGAGGCCAGAACTGCCTTTGCCAGAGGGAACTGCTTTATCTAATCTGTACAACAGTGCTATAGAATCTAGCCACTGTCCTACATGCAGTCACTTCAAGATCAAACAAAACATTCCCCAGACCCAGCCTGGAACACAAAACCAGATTTCATGGGTGATGGCCAGATTTGTACCTGTCACTGTGTCTGAAAAAAGTTCCTGATTTCTTAACTGAGGTCAGGCTCTCTTGGCCTCCACACAAACTCAACAAGTTGTCACACACAGGCTCCCAGGAAGCTAGACCAAGCTCCCTGAACTCCGCACTTGCAGCCCATGGAGCCAAAGAGCTAAGAGGCCGTGTGACCCTCCACAAGAGCAAGAAAACAGGGAACAGGCAACGGTGGATGGCAGGGGGCTGGCCTGGGGCAGCAGGAGCAGCCCGTTGGAGGCCCTCACTGTTTCCTTTTTGGGGATTTTTAACATCCTGCCTTTGACAGCAATTAAATCTGAAAGATTCAAATATTGCCTAAGAAGAAAGGCAAAATATTTATCCATTCGTCTACAGGTCCTGTCAGTGTGCTGGGCTTTTGTAAATGCAGGCACCATCTGGGCACCCAATACGTGTGCCCAGAATGTGGGCTTCCCAGCACAAGCAGGTTTTCCTGCAACAAAAGACATGGAGGGGCTACCTGGAACATGATAGGGAAGCCCATGGCCCTGCCTGGAAGAGGTCAAACCCGCCTTCACCAACCCACCTGCATCCCAACCCGGGCTCTCAGCTGTCCCCTCAGAGAACCACAGCAGGGGCAGAAGTGGGTCTCAGTCAAGCTGTCTCCTGAGCTAAGGATGAGACTACCTGCCAGTCAGGGCCCCAGCAAAACACAGAGTGGCACCCAAACAAGTAACCAAGGAGAGTTCTTCAAAAGGACAATTTAACTCAACAACCTCATTGAGAACTGGGCAAAGAGGTAGAACAGACATTTATCCAATGAAGATATTTAAGTGATCAATGGATACAAAAAAAGGTGTTCAGCATCATGGAGCATCAGGAAAATGCAAATCAAAACCACAATGAGGCATCACCTACACCTGTTAGGATGGCTGCTGTCCAAAACAAAAAGCAAAGGACAGAGACACATAAGATAACAAGGGTTGGCAAGGAGGCAGAGAAATGGAAACTCTCGCATATTTGCATGGGCATATATGCTGGCTAGACCACTATGGAAAACAGCATGGAGGCTCCCCAAAGAGTGGAAAAATAGAATTCTACCGTGTGACCCAGAAGGCCCACATGTAAGCATATATCCCTCCAAAATCAATATCTCAAAGAGATATCTGCACACCCATGTTTATTGCAGTGTTATTTACAACACTCAAGATAGGAGAATCTATCAATGGATGGATGACTGGATAAATAAAAGGTGATGATTTTGGTAAGCACACTGGAATATTACTCAGTATTTTTTTAAAGGAGATGCTGCTATACATGGCAACCTGGAAGAATCAAATTCTGCCCAATTCCACTTATGTGCAGTATCTTGAAATCCGGCCTAAAGGAGCAGGCAGCAGGGGCTGGGAGAGATGGCAATGAGGAGATGTTCTACAGGTTTAGAATTTCCATTATGCAAGATGAGAAAGTTCTAGATATCTGCCATACCACATTGTGCCTAAAGGCAGCAACACTTAATTGCATAC